GAAATTAGCCCGCTAAGTGGTTGCAGGTTAGGGGCGATTGAGGACAATATGGCGAATTCGGCTCACTTAGATGCTATAGAACGCTGCATTACATGGCGTTGCTTCACAGCCGGGAGCAACATCATCTGCACTTTCCACTGTAACGTCGGTAAATTATGAATGTTTAATGGGCGGAGAAGGGAACAAGTATTATCGTATAAATTGGCCTTAAATATTTCCCGCCATGCTTTAGCTGATGGCAGCAGGTCGTAAGATGCTGCTGCTGAACATTTTGTTCGGAAATGGCAAGAAAGCACGTTCGCGTCAGTATTTACCGACATGCGAACGAGTGACGCGTAGCAGTGTAGCAGTGACGATAATCTCAGTGGATTATGGTCCTCGCGATTGGACCTGCCGTTTTGCAAGCGATTTCTTGCCATTTCCGAACAAAATGTTCAGCGGCAGCATCTTACGAGCTGCCGCCATCAGCTAAAGCATGGCGGGAAATATTTAAGGCCAATTTATACGATACTACTGATCCCCTTCTCGGCCCATTAAACATTCATAATTTACCGACGTTACAGTGGAAAGTGCAGATGATGTTGCTCCCGGCTGTGAAGCAACGCCATGTAATGCAGCGTTCTATAGCATCTAAGTGAGCCGAATTCGCCATATTGTCCTCAATCGCCCCTAACCTGCAACCACTTAGCGGGCTAATTTCATCGTTACCGCCCATTTCTATGCAAATGGTCGTGGCTAATTTGCATACGTTCTCAACATTTAGAGTCTACATTTAACATTTACATTTAACATTTAGATTTACATTTAGCATTTAGATATGTTAACATTTATATTTAACATTTATATTTATATTTAACATTTACATTTAACATTTAGATTTATATTTGCATTGAACTTTTACATTTAACATTTAGATTTATATTTACATTTAACTTTTACATTAAACATTTAGATAAATGTCAGAAAATTGCACTAAATGTTGAAAAAGTGGCAAGTACAAAAATGTTTCGTAACTTTACAAACGGCGCCCCATACTCCTCAGCGCAACAAAGAGGAACAAGAAACATACAGAATGTAAAACAGTCTCTCAGAAAGCTATTTCCTTTTGTCTATCCAGTTAGAAGCAATATTACCAAAATTCATCAATGCTTGCATGTTATATGCTACTGAACTATGGTAAACTGTGTGGGCAACTGCAAAAGCCTTTGTAAAATATTTCCCCTTTACAACAACTACAATGGAGACCCATACTTGTTTTACATTTTTATTCCCATATACATTGTGTGCTTTTAATCGTTTTACTGTACAGTTAAAAAACTGCATTACTCACAAGGCTAATGAAGTTAACTTCCCATGGCATACTGCTATATCCAACAGTGAGTTTGTGTTTTTATATTGTTTTTACATTTTATTTTATATTTCATGTATAATTGCATATTCATTTTTAAAAATGAACAAAAATAAATGCTATTTCAAAAATGCTGTCCAGTATACCTCAGCGCTCAGCTGTCCTGCCTTTATTTTACTGCAATTCTTCTTTTTTGATCCCTGCTTTCTACTTCAAACAAATACCAAGTGCTGTGATGAGTGACAGGTGCGGAGGCACTCTTTGGACCAATCAGTACTCACAAAGTAAGGGACGAAGAAACAGGCTAGACTTTGGTAAAGTGCATCCAGGATGGTGTACCAGAAAGTTGAAGGCAGGTAAGTCTGAAAATGTGCCAGAGCAAAATGAAACAAAAATTCTCTGCTCCACTAACAGATTTACCTGCAGATTAAACCTTTTTACTAGCAGATTAAACCTTTTTATTAGTCGTTTTATTCAGTTACCGTACTTTCGTAATGCATTCATAGAACATTCAGTTCACCTTCATTTTTTTAGAATTTGCTGATCAGTGGCCATTGTTGACACACCACAACACACAGTCTACAATAACAAAATGTGTCCTTTGCATTTAACCCACATGTGACATCGTGACATAGCAAGGGGCAGCTAACTCAGTGGCCGGGGTGCAGTACCTTGCTCAGGGTACCTCAGTGGTGCCTTGCTGGTTGGGGATTCGCATCAGCAATCTTTCAATTACAAGTGCGCTTCCCTAACCATTAAGCCACTACTGTCACTATTATTGCCACTGCCATTATGCATTCATAGAACATTCGTAAGCGGCGTGTAGGTATACCATAACATCCTGATATATCTTATCAGCTTTATTATACATTAATAACAAACATGACATAATAATAACAAGCATTATAGTAGTATAATAATATACTATTTGTTATTAAAACCGTTGAAGTATGTTAGGATTCTAAGGTATACTTACATGCTGCTTATGAATGCTCTATGAATGCATTATGAAGGCATTCTGAAGGTGCACTTACTGTACTGTTAAGAGTTACCCTTTGTTCCAGTGTATTAGTATGGCTGTATCTGCAGCATTTGTTAGTAAGCTGATATCAGCTGAAATGTTCCTCACCAGAGAGTCCTGTCCTGCCTGGTAGAGGACAGGCAGCTGCAGAAGAATATCAGCAGACACATCCTTATCCAGGATGCCATACAGCAGCGGTGGGGCAGAGGTGAACAGCAGGTTGAAGAAGATGAGAACCCAGTAATTGGTCATGGTGCTGCCTGAGAAACCACAGAAGAACTGGTACCAGAAAAGGAGATTCACGTAGGCCTATGAGACATAAGAGTACATGTGGTTAAAGAAGCTTAAACTGTGACTTAAACTTAATATCAACCTGACAAATTGAGTTGGGGCCTGTATCAAGAAATAGGATTACTTGCTTAGCAGGATAGCTTGTCAGGTTTAAGGTCATCTGGACTAAATATAAATGAATAAATATAAAGTCTATTTACACTGGGGTACATTAAATCCGACAAGTTATCATGCCAGATAAGAAATTCTGCTTCATGATACAGGCTCTTGGTATACTAATAACATGCTAGTTTAACAATTTATTCATAATAAGAAGTAGAGAAGATCCTATAGACCCATTGTCAACAACTGGCAGACTCTCGTCAAGTCAAGTCCATCCATCCATCACCGTAACCCCTTAATCCCAACAGGGGTCGCGGGGGAGACCGGAGCCCATCCCGGGAGCAATGGGTGTCGGCAGGAACCAACCCTGGGCAGTCACCAAAACACCAGGGCGCACACACTCAAGGGGCCAACTTAGTGTCGCCAATAAACCTACTGTGCACGCTTTTGGACTGTGGGAGGAAACCGGAGCCCCCGGCGGAAACCCACGTGAACAGGGGAAGAGCGTGCGAACTTCACACATATTGCAAAAAATAAAAAAGATAAACAATGCTGCCATCTGATGTCTAGTGCTCAATCCAGGTACTGACCACATTCTTGTAGAAGAAGTAGAGGATCATGTTGGCAAGCCTGGTATAGCACCAGTGTCCATGAACAAGAAGCAGCTTACGGAGGTGCTTAAACCTGGAGATAGCAAAGTCACTGGACATCACGGCCTGGATGGAGAGAGACAGAATTACAACTTCCTCCTTGGTGGGAAGGATGTTCAAAACCTACTCTGGCCCTTAAGTACCAGAGGTTTAGAGCTTCCTATTCCAGGAGTACCAATCTTGGCCTTAGACTCCTTACTAAATTAGCATGCATTCATTTCTTTACTCATTCACTCATCCATCCATCCATCCATAGATAGTAGGTTTTTCAATTCAGTATATCGGGAGAAATGCATAGGTAAAGCAGAAATATCCACTGCTAACTCTTCACCTGTCATCTAAACTAGTTTTTCTTCACACAGACTTTTAGAAGATAAGTGTTGTGGGTTTAGAGCAGAGGAGACAAAGATCAGAACCGCTACTTCTACATGATCAAGGTGTCCGATTTGTGAATATAGTCCAGTTATTCACAGACTGCTCACTTCAGTAGCTTCTTGGATGATTAACAGATGTCTTTCTCCAAAGAGGGATCATTTCAGGCAACATCCCAATTCAAACTTTATTGACGCTTCTCTAGAGGTTTGTAGTAATGAAGGATGGGATTCTACACACCTGCATGCCTTCCTGGCCTGAAATTCCAATTCCCACATCTGCCATTTGGATCATGCTTACATCATTGGCACCATCTCCTGCAGCATGATGCAACCAAGTCAGTAAGTCAGCAAGTCTGATAACACACAAGTGAACTGTGAGAACAGGACCTACTTCCAACTCCTGAGTCATGTACACGGCAATTTGGATTCGGCTTGTAAATTTAAAGGGATTTTCTTGAACAACAGTCACTAACGTTAATCGCTTATTCATTAACCTCCGACCTCGCCCCTCCACACATACACGATATTGACATTCAACATGCAAGTAGTACATTGTTCAATATAGGACTTTATTGAACAAATACCTTTTCCATTCAGCTTTTAGGTATACTAACAATGGCCGCATTTGCACAAGTACAAGCTTATGAAGATTTCCCTAAAAGACTATTTATGCCACATACCTATGTTGATATAAAATCGAAACACAATGGCTGTTAATTGAAACGGTCTGACCTGTAACTTTATAAAGCCCTTCCACAGATAAAGGCTAACCTATTTATTTGTTTTTAATTCAAAAAGTTCAACATATCAGTATGCTCTGGTGCCAGGCGTGTGCTCAGTCTGTTTACTGTAAAGTCCAGCTGCTGAAAATACCCGTTTGCCGGGTATCGATGTCCCAGGTATACATGAATAGCAAGATTTGCAAACTATCATAACTAAGCCAGATTTATACAATAGATATACATACGATCTATGTGGACCACCCCAGAGATCTAAGTACTTGTTGCGGCAACGCAGCTTGCACACACGCTCACAATGATGTACGCCACTTGTGTAGACTAGGTGTAGGTTCTGCGCAGAGCTTATGAACAACTAGACAGTAAAAAGAGTAGGCTTACTTGATGTTGCGAAAATGCATGACTTTACGAAAATGAGACTTGCAATTTATTCAATTAGTTTGGAAATTTTGATTAACTAAATTCTTAAATGCCAAATAATCGATCGTCAATTAATCATTTGGATGCCACGTTATTTATCTAACCCTTTATGTAAAGCAACTGGCACTGTTAAGATTTCCGGTATAGTGAAATATCTGGAGCTGGCAATTTGCCTGACTGTGCCACGTAATACAGTACGTACTTTAATTAGGTCCGGCTGTGAATTAGGGAATGAATACTATAGCAATAAGAACTACAATAGTTCATAAATGCTCAGAAATTTCTTTGTGGAGTGGGAAAAGGATTTGTAGTCAAAACAAGGGTGTCCAGCCCAGACCTACGACAGCACTAATGAAAACATCAGAGAACCTCTGGGATTCAAGTCTCCCAAGGGGACATTTTGGGTAACTAAAAGAATTTAGCTCGGAGACTGGTGGTAAGCTCTTCAGTTAAGAACATAACTAAATTGTTTCCTTTTATGTTCATTACCAAGACTTTTGCATACTGCCGTTAGTCATGGGGTGGGGGGAAGGGGTCAGGGCTTACCCACGGCCAAGGTCACGACCCCCAACTTATCCCGCACCAGCTGGACCACCTGGCTCTTCTGCAGGGGGGTGGAGCGGCAGCAGATGACAGCCCTGCAGCACCCAGCCAGCTTCAGGAAGGAATCTTCCTGGCCCCCCCGCAGCACCAGCTCCAGCGTCCAGCCGTCGATAACGAGCGTGAAACCGCTTACAGTGCCCCTCCCATCCTCAACAGTTTTCAACAGGTCTGCCAGCAAGACTTCACAAGCCTCCTGAGAAGAAGACGATGAAAGAGGCAGCGTTGGTGTTTAACCTGCCAGCACCTTCAATGAGAATGGCAAGTACCTTCAGTCACACTGACGTTAAATGTGAGGTGTCTTTCTGTAGGATCAGTTCATGCTAAATACCAGTAGTAGATAGTTCAGGACCAGAGAGTAAAAATCCAGACCAAGATTTTGTTTCAACCAACCAGTTGAACATACAGGGCCGCAGTTACAGAGTACTCAACTGGTTGATTGAAACAAAATCTTGGTCTAGAGTTTTACTTTCTGGACCTGAATTCTCCACCTCCGCTAAATGCTTTACAAGTACAATGGCCTTTTGGGACGTCTACACATCTTTTAGGCAATAGGTGCCAGTAATTATAAAGGCACAATGAAACGTCTAACAAGCCCAAAGGTTTTGAACTGAAATGAAATTATATTTTTTCTACCATTTGTACAAGTATGAGTACAGGTACATGGGAATTCTTTAGTTTGCGCACATCCTTGTGTTATTCAAGACACACACAAATACACGTGAGCCTGACGCTTGGAATCAGAGCACAGGGTCAGGCATTTATCCAGCACGCCTGGAATGACTGGAGTTAAGGGTCTTGCTCAAGGGCCCAAAGCTGAGCACAGGATTTAACCAGGCAAACTTCTGATGCCAGACACAGAGGCCTGATCCAGAGAGCCACTCACACCACACAGCTGCTTCGGATTCGGGGTCACTTAACAACACACTTAACTACTACATACACTGCATGTGTGCAGTCTGTGCATGTTTCTTTTTACTTTAGCATGTAAGGCTAGTGCATTTACAGTGTTTAAAAGCTTTATGATCGCTATAGAAATGTGCATGAAGACCAGCGTACACACATACACACACACACATACACGCACACACATACATGCACACACATACACGCACACACATACACACACACACACACACACACACACACAC